ACACCTGTGACAGTGGACTGAGCGGGGCAGTGTGTCTGACTTTTGTCTCTGTGCGTGTTTGTGACAGACAGGTCGTTTCTGAATTCACATTAACATCTTTGTAAATCCAAACACTCTGTGAAGCCACACAAACACTGGAACTCAAATTGTTTAAAGGGCAAACAGAGAGCGCTACAAGTTTCTGACTGGCTTGTAAATCTCAGATGCATCAAGTTGTGTGCATCATACTTTGCACCTTTCAACGACCACACCTGGTAGACTGTAAAACTTAAACATGCCAAAAACAAGAACRAGGTGATGTAAGGATGAGACTGAACAAAGAACTCCAAACACATTTAAGTCCCATTTTCCTTCATCTGATGCTTATAGACGGAGAAAACTCAAAACTTCATGAGATCATAAAGCTGAAATCTGATAATTCTCTCCAATTAGGTAAATCTCATCATACAATTATAACAACTGAGCCAATCGAATGCTAACATGAAGACAAAACTATTTTTGTTAGCAGCAATTTTGCTTCCAAACTGTGTCTATTTCTGCAACAAAATGTTCCTCCAGAGTGAAAATATCACTTATTTTACATTCAGGTGGTTTTTAACTGTTTGTCATCACAGAATATTTCTTTTGGTGAATAAACATTTAAAAGTTTTGATATATTTGCAAAAAGATAAAAAGTTTTGTAGTGGCTCATCCTGAAATCACCTTCAGATTTTTAGCACTTCGATAACTTTAAGAAAAAAAGTATTTTTTTGTGATAATAATAAAGCGGGATGCAAATCAAGGCTCTTCTGGAGTTTATCATACTACAGTAATAAATACTTTTTACAGGAATAATATGAGAAAACAAGAGTACAAAAAAATGGCCTTAAAGTCTCACACATAAAACTCTGACGTGCTTTTATGACAAACCAACAGAACAGCTTGGCGGCAGATTTTGAGTATCCATCTGGGAGAGGGGAGGAATTCGACCCTTTGACACGATCCAAAAAATGTTGCTGCTTTTATTCTCTGGCTGATAGTTTCATGTTCTTTTCCCAAAGATGTGGAGCTTCTATTTTCTTTACAGCTGAAGTGGAAGAACGAGRAGGCCGCTGTCTTGTGTGTCGCGAGGGCAGGTACAAGAGGTGATCGAAAAAGTCATCATGTGTTTAGTTTTATTATCTCAGAAAGAACGATAATGTTTCTGCTCGTGTCTGTGCGTTAACAAAATATCCACTGTCAACATTAATTAAACTTGTTGAGAGAAGTCATGAGCAAAAMGTTTTCAGTTTTAAAAAGTAAGTCTCCACATGTGTGTTTGCACGTTACTTTTCAATAAAATGCACCATTTTTATAGGGAAACACATTATTTGATAATTCCAAACAGTGACAGGAAATACCAACTAATAAAAGCATAAATTGCATCAAATTGGGAACTTTGTGACTGAAATGAAGCTAAAACAATCTACTGCAAACTGATTTAGAAGAGAGGAGAGAAAAGAAACTGTTTGCTCACGAGTTGAAGACGGTACACGCACATAACCAGAACCACGACTACAAACAGATCAATACCACCCACAACCTGAGATTAGAAATAATGGATTCCTGTTTGGAGCTCAACATCTGGAGTCAAGTCATTTTTCAGGACAAGAAATCATTGTTTCAAACAGCCAAGTGATCAACTCAGACAGAGCAACCGTTAACAAAAATCGCTACTACGTTTAGATATGTCAGGTAAAAGTGTTTTGATTGTAGAGTTTAGAAATGATTTGAGTGTGAGCGCTTTTGTGAGCTCATTCTGAGTATAGAAGTGCAGTATTGACATCATCGGAAAATTCATATTGATTATTCTTCTTTTCTCTGAGCACCGGCTTGTTAAAGAAAGAAGGGGAAAAAAGAACCCCTCTTAGAAACACGATCAATTAGTGAGATAGTGGCTGCCATTGATCACCCAACTGCCCCTCACAAGGCCCCACGATGGATCCCTCCACACACTCCTTATGACCAACTATTGATTTCTGCTTCTTAGCCAGATTTAAAAGCACACACTGAAACACACACACACACACACATACACCTCACATCAAACCCACACCGACTAATACTAATACTGACATCTGCTTGTCTCCATTGTAAAACCTGTGGTTCACTCATAAATATTTAGGCCAGATTTGGTCCAGAACCAACAGAGTTGTTTTAGAGGTCAAAGGTCAGGATGGTAATAATGTTGGCATTAACAGGCCTGCCCAGGTTYAAATAAAAAACACAAAGAAGGTAATAATTTTATCTAAATTAAGTCTGGTTTTAATTTCTCATTTAATTTAAATTGTTCTTTGATTTTTTTGTTTAGGAGTTTAATCTTAAACGCTAAACCATACTCGCTTGCCGGCAAAGGCTGACAATTATGTTGTTTTTTTTTTTTTTTTGAGTGAACACGTGCCTGTTAGCAAAATATCTCATGAACCAGTAGACAAGTTTTAATGAAACTTTCAAAAAATAATTACTGTAAATACATCTGCAAATGATTAACCTTTGCAGTCAACTCATGTCACGATGACCATAACAGCCAGCTGACCTTAGAAAACACAAAAAAGTTTATAATATATTCACTTTTACAGATATTGAGCTCAGATTTGATGTGGTAGTAGCTGAGAGTCATTCTGTGCACGTAAAATCTCACAATATCACATGAGCTCACAGATTATGTTAGATTCAACACTTGACTTTAACTCTGTCATTTCTCAACTTTAGATGATTTTAGTCTAAAACTCTCAAATGAAAAGGTGGTGTTTCGTGTTGCAGCAGTTTCCAGCTGTAAGGCTTCCTAATGAACAGACCGTGAGACGTTTAAACAGAAATATTACAGCGAAAAAGATCTATTTAGAAAACAAGATGATAAATGACAACAGGCGGCTGATAAGGTAAATTCATGTTGATGAGCTTGCAAGGCATCAATCTGTCCCTCTCTACTGATCAATCATCCAACCAATCAGCGAACCCGTCACTCCATCCGTCAAAGACAAGTGGCCTTGTGCAAACAGAGGAGTCACATTGGAGCGTAGCGGTTCACCCGAGTTAAGATTATACAGATGTAAAACTATTAGACACAGCAGGCGGCGTAGCATTAGATAATGCTCTCTCATGAGCAACTTGACTCATCTCTTTGTGAGCGGCCGCCTTTGCCCTCTTCATCCCTC